TTCTTTCTCCTCCAAGTCCACCCAGCCTACCTCCTTCTTGATCCGGTAGGGGTGATCTCAGAAACAAAGCCACGGCCATCCTGATTGGTCACGTGGTTACAAGACGTTCAGTTGGAAGGGGGTGGTTGACTTCTTTCCTCAAGACCAGTGTTTCTGAACCTTGGCAACTTGAAGACGTATAGGCTTCAACTCCCAGAACTCCCTAGCCAGCCATGCTTGCTTGCATACCCAGCATATAACCAGCATACCCAGCCTATCCTTGCTTGCATACCCAGCAGCAAGTGTTGAGCAAGGACAACAGCAAGTGCTGAGCAAGGACAACAAGCAGATGCCACGTGGAAGAGGAATAAGTGGGTGGTGGATGTATTCTTTATCACAACACGGTTTACATTCTCTCTCTCTCTCCTCCTCCCTGCCCCCTTCCCCGCCTACCCTTAGCCCAGAGCTGAAACCATTGTAACCTTTGCTCTGTGTGGATTTGCCAATCTGAGCTCCATTGGGATCATGCTGGGTGGCTTGGGTAAGTCAACAAATCAATGAAACCAATGAAAACTCCAGGATGGGAGGACTCTTTTGCTGCCAGTGGTGGGGAAGGAATGGACTGCCCCACAGCTACATTTTATGCTGCTTTAGCATCCCAGCCTCTCCTTTCACAGGCTTGGTTATTCTCAGCTACCAAAAGTGGTTTGGTCCTGAGAAGAGCCTACTAGAAATATCGATATTCATCTGACCCACTTCCATCTTCTTTTTTTACATGAAGCCTCGATGGCACCACAACGCAAGAGTGAATTTTCCAGCATCGTACTACGAGCATTGATCACCGGAGCCTCCGTCTCCCTAATCAATGCATGCATTGCAGGTATTTCTGGGGGGGGGGGCATAACAACTCCCACCAAGGGTTAAAACAAAACTCCTTGAAGTTGAACATCATTCGGGTCACTTGATGGACACACCCATGTAGGGTTCTTAGTGTTTTCTGAGCCCAAGCTCATGTTTTCCTGCAAGTCCTTTTTGTTGCAACAATAGACTGGTGGGTTGGAACTGCAACTTACAGAATTGCCAGCCAACATGCTGGCTGAAAAGTCCAGCAGTTGCTGGTCTGACTCAGCTGGAGAAAGCCAGAAGAAGGGGCGGATGGGGTCTTTTTGCACTGAAGATTGGGACATAATAAGGCACTAGAGGACAAGCAGATGGATAGACCAATAATAAACAAGAGGACAAACAGAATGTAAGGCACTAGATTCCCACATTATAGACAGACTATAATAAGCACTAGAGGACAAGAAGAATCATAGACCAATGGGAAGTAGAAATCAAGCTGTAGATAAGGGCCAGTGTGCTCCATAATACTGGGCAAAATTTCCTGCAGTTTTGCTACTGAGCAGTAGTCATTGCCCCCAAGTGCTAAGCATCCTCACGCAACTGGAATAACTACAAAACAGTGCTTTTCTAACTGGCATGTTCTGTCCTTTGCTTTTCAGTCCTGAATAGATTTGATTATATTTTGTAAAGGGAGTAGCGATCAATCCACCCAGAAAATACATTTTTTGCTGGAGTGGAGGAGGAGGAGAGGATTACTGAGATGTTGCACACAGAAGCTTCTCCAGAGTTGGTGCTACAGACCAAAAACTCCTCTTGCCCTAAAGGAGAGCGAGATAGAAAAGGAATAAAAGAACTATTCGATTGGCTTTTTCAAAACAAACGAATAAAAAACCTTGATGCTATTACCACCTCTAAGAGAAAAAAATAGGATCAGGGTGTCCACAAGGTGTGGTCACAAAAGTCAAGGAGGCAGCCATGAAAGTGCGATGGAAGCTCCACCTAGTTTTTGTGCGTGTTGTGGAGCCTCCATCACACCTTTGCGGCTGCCTCCTTGACCTTTTTGACCACACCCTGCAGACACCCCTGAATAGGATGTAAAAGAATAAACTTTGCCAAGCACGAGATCAACATTCACCCTTTGATTTAAAACACGGCTAGTTAACACGAATATTTGCAGGCTGTTGGATAGATATTCCTGCTCTAAGTTGGTGGCATCCTCTTTAAGCAAAGGGGTGACTTTTCCCACAGCCTCCACATTTCCTACCAACAGGTATCCTCTTTGTGCCCAGAGACGTGACTGACTGTTTAGACTTCTTTAACAATACCATCATCAACTCTACCAGCTACTCTCTGTATGAATGCTGCCAAAAATTGTTCAGCAGGTGAGCACTCCTCCTATGTGTTGCGTGTGTGAAAATACACAGTGAAAGAAGCTTCATCAAAACCCTGGCCCTTCTCGCTTTGCTTTGACACAACTTTGCACAGAGTAGGGCACACTGACCTTTCTGCCAGCGAGGGAAAAGTAGAAGATGCCAGGGCACCAAATTGCCAGAGATGGACAGGTCACTGCCTCTTCCATAGCTTTACCCTTGATTCTGGCATTTGTAGACACCGAGGGTGATATTCTCTGTTTTTACCTTAATTGCCACGTGGAATGGACTTCATGGCACGGACACTAGGACAAGCTTTTGCTATGGTAGACATGTATCATGGGCTGACTCCTTCTGCATTGGTTTCCAAAGCTGAGCCAAGCTCATCATCAATTTCCAAGATGCCTTGAGATCCCATGTTTGAATACTGTATTCTAGAAATTCTGGGATCAGTGCAGCTCCAGAAATCCCTTGTGTATGTGGCCTTTTATTTCCCTAAAATCCTTTTTTGAAATGACCAAGAGATGGCACCCTTTTGCCTTGGGAAAAAAGCAACAGCTCAGCGATGACTCCTCCACCTACTAGTGGCTTGAACTGTACACCATCTCCATGGCTGGTCATTCAATTCCCACAAAGAAATATTGCATTCTGTTATGTGCTGGGTAGGTTTGCACATCACATGCTTTTTTTAAGAAGTGAGACAATCTGCTTGACAAGCTCTCCCATTTGCTCTGAAGACCTTCCTTCCTTCCTGCTAAAGCTGCTGATGTGCAATCATACATCCAGTGCGTTATTACATTTAATGATTATTACAATTATGGGCATGCGGGTGACTTGAGCCCCTCTAGGCAAGATTTCAGAGAGAGTTGCCAAGTTGAATCGTTGTTTCAAAAACAACCACCCTCAACAGTTTATTCAAGTGGAAGAATGTGTAATTTGTGTAAAAAGCAGTGGAGAAGGTTAAGAGAAGGGCAAGGCACAATCAGGACTGAATAGGAGCAACTGAGGAAGGTGCCTCATACTGTTAAATGATCATAATCCATTTAGAATTGTCTAAGGGTAATTGAAGCTCGTCCTTCTTGTCCTGCCTTGAGTTGCCAACAATTTATTGTGGCAAAGGTTCCTTCACTGGACTATCATCTCCCTGGAAGGCAACAACACAAGGAAAATTGGTGATCCATCCCAGCATGTAGAAGCTCCTGAGCAACCATCCAAGTCAATTGTGATATGGTGCTCAAATGAAATGGTCTTTTTAAAGCTTTCCTATCTGAACACTATGGTTATTATCCTTCAAATATTATTCATGGGCCAAGCTTTGACATCCCTGCTGTATTAATGCCCACCGTAGCCTCCAAAACGAACGTTGAGTCACGCTCACAAAGATGCTCTCCCTGGCAGTGAGACTCACAGCCCCATATGACACATTGTCACAGGATGACTTTATTGCATTTAATCTTGGAAGCAGCACCATACTGTCAGACGCATCTGAGCTTTTCTCTTCAGTTATGAAGTACAGTCACTTGAAATCCTTGAAAATGAATGTTGAAAGTCATAGGATGCTAGGAAAAGGGCATCATAGCCACAATCCTATATTTACCCAGAGGTATGTCCTGTTGAATTCAACATACTTTTGAATCTGCATGCGTAAAATCGCACTGTACAATTATAGTCCAAAATACACTGACATTGGAATAAAACCCCTTAAGCACAGTGGAAACGGCTTCCAGATAGACATGAAGTTATTTGTGCAAAAATGATACTGACATTTAGGGGATGAGTGGCACCTATCATGACAATGTAGATTGCGCAAGTCTCTTTTTCAATGTATTGGTCCCTATTCCAAGATTCCTTCTTTGGAATATAAGGGATTTCCTGATTCCAGAGTACCGAACAATGGTGATCATTCTCAAAGCCTGCCCTGCAGAGCAAATGGCAGGGTCAGTGTCCAGAAAAACCATTCACAATAACTTTATGAGTGAGAGACTGCTAGACCAAGAGTGCAAAATTATCAGACGTCTTTTGCTGAGACAAACATTCTCTATGTCAGCATTATCCATCGAAAATTAGAGGTTGGAGAGCCATCTGAACTGCCTAATCTGTCATCTTTTCTTTTTCACAGCTCCTTACCTAGTTCCACCGGATCACTCTCCTTTACTGGCATTTGGGGGACTGTAGACTCCAACGTTACAGAGATCTATCTCCAGAACTGCTGTGATTACTATAACGCCTCAGTATGTTCCAAGCTTTAACTGATGAGGAATGAGATGGTGAGGCAAGAGAGGGCAATTCACTGGATTCATAGAAGAAGAATAAAGGGAGGGGGGTGTAATTGAAAAAGTTCACAGGAGTGTGTGAGAAAGAAAAAAAGGGGGGAGCAACATCTCACCTTCAAAGGTGAGATGTTGGGTTTTATTAGCCCTGATGAAGAATGCAAAGAGTTCAAAGCTGTACTGTAGTGTATAAACTAGTGTTTCTCAACCTTGGCCACTTTAAGATGAGTGGACTTCAACTCCCAGAATTCCCCAGCCAGCATGAAATGGCTGGCTGGGGAATTCTGGGAGTTGAAGTCCACTCATCGTAAAGTGGGCAAGGTTGAGAAACATTGGTATAAACAATCCATTTTTTTGGTTTGAAGTGCTCCAGGCTGCACACCATGCAAAAATAAAAGCTCCTTTCAGTTGTTTAATTTTGTGACAAGGTTGGAAATGCAAGTTCAAGCACGTGAACCTTCCAACAATGTTGCTCCTGGCAAAGATGGTCTGGGCAAAATTCCTTTTTGCAGTTGGATTAACCAAAAGCATTTATTAAGCCTTCCTTTGATCTCTTTGCATTCATTTCTGTTTGTCCTTCCACTACTGATGTGACTATATGCGGGTCTACTCACAGATAATCCCCACTGAATTTCAATGGGACTTACGCCCAGTACATCTGAGGGTAAACCCCACTAACCTTGGAGTTCCTTCCCAAGTAGTAAAAAAACTCAAAATTGCAGATGGCCAAATTACTCATTGTAAAATAAACCAATGTCCTCATTCATATTTTCCAAGGAAGTATGTTGTCAGGCCTAGGATTACCAAAGTCTTGGAAATCAGCCAGATTTCAGAAGACAAATGCACATACAATACAGAAATTCAGAGAAGATCTCAGCTGCTTCCACGGACAAGTTACATCCTGTTTCACTTTATTCAGCAACTCTTGAACCCCAGAACTAGGTTGTTCATTTTTTTCTTGGAGTCCAGCATTACATAACCTATTCAGTCCCGATTTCTCCCCAAAATCCCCTATTCTTCTAAGCCATTATCATAAAGGAGGGCCTGCAGAATGATTCCTGCATGTGAAGAAGCCTTGAAGACAAGATTTGGCCCTACCACACCCCTATCAAGCTTCAACAGAAGCTCCGGTACATCAAATGAGGTTCTCCATGGTTTGTTGCATGAACCACTGTGGGGAAAGTCCACAATTGGAATCTTGCCCCATTCTTTGGCTTCTGCAACTCAAGCATTAGTATCAAGCAGCAATATTTGTAATGAATTGTTTTCAAATTGAAATGCACGTGAAGAAAACCCTTTAGCAGGACAAACCACTACACACTGATTTTGCCCACCTTGCCCTGCTACTGCATCACATCAGGGTTCCTGTTTGGTTCCTGAAGTGTTCTCCATCTAAAATTATGATGAAGGGGGGACAATGATCTATATTCACAAGTGGTAGCTCTCCACATTGTGATAGATTATACAATTGTCTTTGGTGAAAGAAGAGCTGGTGGGACAACCTACATTCAATAGGTTGTTCCAGGGTCTCCTTTCTCAGTGACTTTTCCATCCTAAGGGTAATTCAATCAAGCCTGGAGAAAAGGCTAGCTATCAGGCAGTGTCATTTGACAGTAGGCAGTGCTTAAAGTCTTGCTGGCCGCAGACAGCTGCTATAGAACCTGCATTTATCACCTAAGGAGAAATTTGGGAAAAAGCAAAATATATAAAGATAGGATGCTGTTCAAGGGAGAGATATTTCTATGTAAAAGGTCTTCCCTAACCCTGTACCCTCTAGATGTGACAGACCTGCACTTCCAGAATTCCCAGACGTTTTGATTCTGGCTAATCCCCACACATCTAGAAGATGTTAGGCTGAGGAAGCTATAGGCAACACACTGTAGCTATGTTCATACAATACACTTGTCAGCTGCAAACTTAGCAACTGCATTCATACATGCTGAACTTGGTTACTGTTAGCCCAGGTCTGGCTTTCTCTTTTGGGGGGAGTTTGGTGTGTGAACCCAGCTTCTTTGGTTAACTTATGGGTCAATTACAATGTGAACCCAGAAAAGAAGATTAATTCGGTAACCCGGTTAAGCATGTTATGCGAATGCAGCCTATCTGTGGTCATTAACAGGTAAGAAACATACGAAACTGCTTTGAATAATTAGCAGCATGTCCCAGAGTCTCTGGTAGCAGTGTTTCCCAGTTCCTGCTCTTTGATCTCTAAACTGGAGATCAACATCGACTGAAAACAGAGCTGTGTGCAAAATATGTGCTCCATCACCTCCATGTAGTACATGGCGTTACTGGATGGAACAGGAAGAACAGTCAGAGCAAAAAGGGTTGAATCTTCTGTTAATCTCAACAGCCCCACCTGATTGACCAAACATCCTCTCAGCTTAGCCATGACACACTTGACAGTTTAATTGTCCCCAAACACAGAGGCAGGAAGATACCACCACACCCATGTCACGGAGTCCCATCAAGGCAGCAGCGTCTCCCTCCAAAGGAGAAGGGAGAAGTCAGCTCTCTACTCCTATGTATTCTTTGGGGTGTGGATGGGAAGAGAGGATTAGGCAAAAGTTACTAATCAAGAGTCTCACTGGGGTTGTGGCCCACACCATCGTGGGAAAAGCAGAGAACGATTGGCCTTTGGTGGGGGACGTGCTGCAGTCAAGGGCATGAGTCCTGTATTACAGCCCAGCAGAGCATAGGTCCACTTGACCACCTGGTGTCCAGCCCCTTTCTTGGACTTCAACCTATTGGGAGCCACAGGACAGGCTCAAGATGAAAAACATGGCCCAAACACAGAGGAGAAACAGAATCACATAGGCACCTAAGCAGGGTGCCAGGTTCCTGCCTCATGTGATGGGACTGTGAACACAGATACCACTCTATGCAGGGCCGGCAGTGACCAAACTGTTGCATTCACACAGTCGTTCATGGGGGGTTCCAAACCCGCCCAGAGAGCCATGTTCAGATAGGCACAGCATACCTCTTTCCCTCAAACACCACACACAGACCTCACACATGGAAAGGCAGGGGGAGCCACAGGAGGACAAGGTAATCATGTCCTCTCTCCCGGGCACACACAGCGTGTATGGCTTATGGCCCCCACTGCCCATCACTGCAGCTGTCCAGCCTTGTCATTGTCTCTTCCTTTGGGCCATGCCATCGACTGTGACTCCGCCACATGTTCTGGACATTTCCGGGCACTCTTGGGGCTCACAGAACCTTTCCTGGAAGCCTGGGGGCTAGAGAGGCCTTTCTTCTGGAGCTGAGGGCTGGACTGAGCTGATGAAGTCTTTCTGCCCATGCTGGGGCTCCGAGAGCCCTTGGTTCTTGGCGGAGGTTGAGGAACCTCAAGGCTCTTCAGAGCAAGCAGCTCACAGTAACGATTGCATTGATGGGAGGCAACAAAGTGATTGAGGAGGGTGGGGCAGCAGCTGTCCTTCAGGCCTTGGTACCTGGCAGAGAAAGAAGGTTACTCCCCAGGATAAATTCCCCTTCCATCATTGACATACTCCTCAATTACCATTCACTGATGGGTCCCCCTAGTCTCGTGTCTATTAATGGCTTAGCTGGCAACCAAAAGACAGCTTCTGTGTTGGCAGCAGGCAGCCCAGAAAATGATTGCAATGGATGCAGCAGGGGAAAGATTGCAGGCCCGCCACACGTGGCCTGTGGGTGACTCACCATGGTTTAAATGCCTACATCACATCAGGATTCCCTGCTGGATTGTACAAGAGTTTAGCGTGGAGCTAGCCATTCTCTGTCTTTTGCTAAACAACTTTGGACAAAGGTCCCATGGATTCCCAGTTCTAGGAGTATGAGCTGCACAGAAATTTGATACAGCAAGAGGTAAGGATGCATCTGCCATGGTTTCAACCTAGAAGCAAGCCATGGCAATTAAGGGTTATGCCCTGAGATACACTGGGAGTCAAATAAAAAGATGCCAAAGCTGTCTATTTAGTAAGAAGATGAAAGCTACTAGTTAGTGACATTGGCAGATTCCTTCTTGTGCCAAAGAGTAATTTGGACGCAGCCCCAGTCTTGGCTCACTCTGGCTGAACCCAGTTATCCAGCCTGGATCGAAAGCTTCAAGGCGTTTGCTTCTAGCCAAGTGGTCACTTACCCCTTGGTTTTGGTAGCAATCTTCACATTGGTGACCTTCCATCCAACCCCTGCAAAAGAAGCTCTGATGAAGTAATGAGGTCACTCCTCATTTTTGTTCAGCAACAGCATCATGCTGATTCCTGGAATATCACCCTGAAGCCAGCCTCAATCAACTAATCCACAGCAGAGGTATGGAAATCTACAGTCCTCCCAATATTGCTGACCTACAACTCCCAGCATTCCTCAGCTGGGGATGATGGCAGCTGTAATTCAGCAGTGTCTGGAGGACACCAGATTACAGCAGTCTGACCTAGAGAAGCTTCCTGCAAGCCCTTCCCCTAAAAGTTAGGGGGTGTATCTGACTGCCCGCACAAGAGCCTCACCTTCCAAGTCTGTCACCAAGATATTGCCATTTGTCCACTGGTAAAGCCAGTGCTGGAAAGCACAGCATTTCTGCCCAGTCTCCGAGGGGTTGGCTGGAGCCAAGCTGTTGCCATCTCTTTCTCGTCTGCAGTAATGCTGAAACAAGCCGGGCAAGTCTTCCTCCATGGTTGCATAAGGAATATTGTTGGCTGGTCGATAGATTAGGTAAAGTGGGATTATCCTGTGCCAAAGAAGAAAGAAAAACAGTGCTCCTATTAGGGCAGCTTCAACTACCTGGAGACACTTCTGGTGTGGCCACTGTCTCCCGATTAAGATAGAAGTTGTGTTACCAGTCAAGAGCTTTTGAACATTTAAGAACTAGCCCTAGGAATAGGTCCTGCTGGACAGAGCTGAGGTCTGTACTGCAAAAAATACTGGTCTTCGACCACAATAAGGATGTTCTTTCTCTTCTACCCTGCAGAAATTGGCTCATTTACGAAACCTCTCCCTCCAAAACCTTTTGGCCTTGCTGTTCCTTCTCTTGGTTGCTACTGCCCGGTCTTTCCAAATGTGTGAACCAGGGACCACAGCACAGAGAAGGATTAGCACCATTCCCATCCTTCTCCTCCTGAGCAACAATGTTGACTCCACTGAAAGACAGGAATTGAATACATGGGGGCAGCAGGGACATACATGCAGTGAATACATTCCATCACAGAAGGACCACTGATGGCATCTTGGCCGCCTCATTGTTCCAACATGAGTAACTAAGACTGCTTCTCTAACACATGCTCTCCAGCTCCAGCACAATTCGGCAAATGGACTCAAGACCCCGATAGAATATGTCAGTGTTGCTGAGTCCCCATATACCACCACTGCCCAAGCAACCACCCCCCATCATCTTGAGCTATCAGTGGGAATCTGGAATTGCAGTCTCATACAATTAAAGACTGGGAGAAAGCCGCTTTTCACATAAACCTATGAAGTTTTAAACAGGCAATTCATAGCCCTGGAAAGATAACACTTACTCAGGTATTGACCCAAAGTCAGGAATGGCTCGGGCCTCTGCAGCAAAGATCTTGCAGTATTCCCGACTTGAATTCTGGATTTTACACTCCTGTAAGTAGACAGACAGTTCATCTTGACATCTTCTAACCAGACAGCAAAGCTCGTCTGTCTCCTCCCCACACAGGCAGTCTTGGGGGGAGCTTGGCTCCTTTTAACCTTGTTTTGGTTTTGGGAGTTCATTGGATAAAGTGGCAGCAACCTGGAGTTAGCTGGGGGTTAGCTGGGTGATGTGCAAATTGGAAAATGGGACAATGTGATAACCAGGGGAATGTGGGGTGTGAATACAGTCAGTAAGAGACATAAAGGCTACAGTAGCCTCGGCAACATCAGCCTGGCATGCCCTTCGTTGCCCATAATTTTCAACTACATCACTACCCATCAGGAAAGGACCACACGAAGTAGAAGCAGACAGTGCCTTGGGAATGAACCAGACCGTTGGTTTACAGCCCCCAACCTAATTAAAAACCCACTCTGCAGCAATATGTTCAGATTTTCTCCTGGCAACCCATGGGTAGGGGAGAAAAGTGGTGAAAACAGATTGGTCCGCAGAAGCGTCTAGTACAAACCACAGTAACCTGAAGGATGAAACGTGCATTGCAACGTCACAAGGCAACCCCTCACCTGTTACACTTGCATCCAAAAGTCAGATGCAACTACGTAAGTCATGGGGCTTGCATTGCAATGTCACGACACACATTGTATCATCTGGCCCCGTATTCCCTCCCTCCTCTGACATCTATGATTGTCCGAAAGAAAAAACCCATCACGGAACAGGAAAAGGAGATGTCTTCTTTTGAATAGAGTCCTCTTGGTCTGCTCTGAACAGGGTCTGCTTTCCAGGGTCTCAGGCAGAAGTCGGGAAATTTATGAGGGGTTGGGTCCTACTTTATGATTTTGTACAGGGCATAAAAATCATGTTTCATTTCCAAAGCATTTCACATTCAAACTTATTGTTTAAAAATGGGAGGGGAATTAACTGAGATCACAGGCAAACATCCTGAAATTTAACTAACTACATCAGTGTTTCTCAACCTTGGCAACTTTAAGATGTGTGGACTTCAACTCCCAGAATTCCCAGCATGGGAAGTCCAGCATGGGGAATTCTG